AGAGTAGGCTTCGGCCACCACCCGGGCAAAATTCAAAATTTCCTACCAACTGAAAATATTAAGTGTGTCCCGCACGCTCATATGATCTTATGCAGTTGCGAGCGCCGTAAAAACACTTACCCCCCAAAAAAGACACAATGTGGAAAGTGAAACTTACCGTTGTGGTGACACGGTGGGGACGTAGAGGAAGGGTGGGACGTATATAAAAAAAGTCATGAGCAGGCAGAAACAGGAAGAGATTACGTGGTTGGTTGGCTGGCACTCTGCAGTATAGTAGGCCATAGTTTGTTCCTTCTTTCTTTTCTGACGTCTAATTATGTCCTTTTCTTTCCCCCTCCATTTTGGTGCATATTACTCTCTAGTGCATCTTTAATTATTGACACCTAAAAGACCTACTTGTGTTTCAAGTGCGGTAAGATTATGACTAAAACTGAAACCAAATGTACATTCTTGGTAGTAGAATCCGGTTGTGAGGTCAACAAACAGTATACGTGAAACGAAAATTTAAAAAAGATTGAAAAAGTAAAGTAGGCCTACACGTATTTGAGTTATATAGATCTATGCAAAGTTCTCTCAAGAGTAACAATGAATTAGTTAGATTTAAATCTACCTTGTCCTCCACCTTAAAAAGCGCACAAAGAAATGTTATCAACGTGAATGCAATCTTACAAATTTATCCAACACAGAAAGTATATTGCTACACGTTTGTACACTTCTCATCATTTCCACGGTGCCTGACAAATAATAAATGTATGAAGAACAAAATCACTTACAAAAAATTTGCTCCGAAAAACATGGCATCCTTGGCGTTGATGACCGCAAACTACAGTGGCTATTCTGGTGGTAGTGTGTTCTCAGCAGAGTGCAACGTGCGACTTCGAGGCAAGTCTTTGACCCTAACTAACACACTAGGCTATTATGTGTCAGATTTTATGTCGAAAACGTAATGTTGGGATTTTCCACTTACCTATAAATAGACGCACCCACCCACAATAATACCATTCCTCCCGCTTTCCCGGTAAGGCGATAAGCGCATGGGTGACACACATAAGATTTGGTTACACACTTGCGTCTGCTGTGTACACTCCGCTTGAGACAATTTAATAAAACATAAAACATGTTCATAAGTTGTCCCCTGTTTACATATAAGTGTAAACATGTGTTTATAATATACCCGTATATGCCTGTATAAATGTAAGTTATATGTATATACAAGTACATGTACATTTATAATGTACATTTTGTATATAATGCAATATATAATATATGTAACAGTATACAATTATGTATAAATATGAATATAATGCATGTTATTTGTATTTTACGTGTGTGTATATATATATATATGGACACACATACTAGAGAGAGAGAGAGAGAGAGAGAGAGAGAGAGAGAGAGAGAGAGAGAGAGA